AGAATAAATGTGAAAGTACTCTGCAGACTGACAACAGACATTACCATTCAATCAAGATTTTAACATGTTCAAGTAGGTTGCACAACACTGTTTCCTGTGAGTCATTCCTTTCTCCTAGGTTCATTTCCTTCTTTCTCAAGTACAATTTAGAAGAGCTCTTTAAGTGCTAAAACATAGCTGGAAAATTCAATCTTTGAAAAATATCTTTGAAAAAAAAAATCTGAATTTCATGCTGAACTCTTTAATAGTTTAACTAGCTGGAGAATTCTGGGTTAAGTTATTTCTCTCAGAATTATTCCAGCCTACTCTGGCCTCAGTTTTCATTACTGGGGAAGTGGCTGTCTACCTGCTATTCCTCAACAGGTAATCTGTTCCTTGAGGGTGCATCTGAAGCTTCTATTTGCCTTTGTGTCCAGTAGTTTCAGGGCCATGTGTACAAGTGGGGAAAGGGGGATGCTGCTTGGAACTTTGGGGTGTGGTCTTTAATCTAAGAATGTAGGTATTTCAATTTTAGAAAATTCTCAGCCATTATTTCTTTGAATATTGCATCTCCCACATTCTTTCTAATCTCTTCTGTAAAGTCCATATATACATCTACGCATATGTATGTGTATGTATATATGTATATGTCTGTTATGCACACACACTCTGAACCTTCTCATTCTATCCTCTAAACGTTCCTCTTTCTTTTCATATTCCCATTTTTCATCTTTCTGTGCTGCATGTGCAATTTCTTCAGTATAGTGTAGTGTGATTAAGAGCAGACACTCTAGTCAAACTGCATGGGTTGAAATTCCAACTCCCTCCACCATTTATTAGCTGTGTGACTGACTCTGGGCAAGGTTCCTTAACCTCTCTGTGCTTCAGAGTCTTCATTTGTAAAATAGGAAATAATACTGCCATCCTCACAGGATTACTATAAAAATTAAGTGAGATGATAGATGCGAAGTGTTTGTAACAGTACCCGGTAACTTGCTTAGTCAATAATTTTCTCTTTTTTGTTTTATTGTCTGCTCTGTTTAGCCAGTCTGCTGAGGGTTTTTTTTTTTTAAACTTCGAAATGTTCTAAATAAGATATAATTTTGGTTTATAAACTAGAATAGATGTTCTATAGCTTCCAGATCTTCTTTTTAAAAACATTTTTTATTTT